GTATAGGGTAAGGGTTTCAGTGATTTGCAGAGTACCCCCAGGGAACATGCGCAACAAGTTTTCGTTACATTGTTCGATAAACAAACAGGGTGATCGATAGCGAGTACTCTATTCGAAAGTTAAAATGCCTTCAAAAAGTGTTAGAAACGCGCTTAAGAGTACTTCGTAGCGATAACCGCATACCGATAAACGCGCGGACTAAGTCAATCCTCGGACAAGGAATTCAGATCAAGGAAGGTCAAATGCACAATGAAATATACACGAGTTGCAAGCTTTACATAACGCCTGTGACAAAGCGAAACTCTTTCCTTTCCTCGATCGGGGGTCGCTTAGTTTAGAACGCCAGTAATAGTTTTATACCTCCAATTGAACTGAAAGGTATTTGGTCTGTGGCCTTGTTCATTCATTCTGTTTATTTGCCTTTTTACCTAATATAGTAATTATTCATAAATATTTCAATGTATGGCGAGGTGAGCTGTAGAAACCACCGGGCTTTTAGGTGAGGCCACCTGGTACGTAACAATACGGTTACATAGATATAGCCTGCAGAACAGGAGTGTGTTTTTTTGTTTGTTTGTTTGCTTGTTTGTTTGTTTGTTTGTTTTGCGTATTTTAGTCGAACAGCGAACAACGAAAGCGAGGCGATGAGCGCGAAAAAAATAACGCCTCGCTTTCGCCTCTGTTCGCCTAAAATACGCAAAAAAATCACGCCTGTTCTGCGGGTTAGAGCAGTTTTCTACAGAGCTTTCATTTCACAGCAAACATAAACACAAAATCAACCAATCAGAATGCAACAAAATTCACGTAACCAGCATCAAGCGTTCTGAACGTCAAGCACGGAAATACGCGTAAGACCAATCAAAACTCGAAGCAAACCGTGCAACCGGTGCCAAGCGCGGGAAAACGTGCGTAACCTAAGTCATGATTGGTTTTCGTTCAGTCCGTGATTGGTAGAAAAACAGCATGTGTGCTCTGATTGGTTGCCATAAATTTGAAAAGATGTGACCAAAACCATGTTTTTTCTCTGGATCCGAAATTTGAATTGTTTATGTTAAATAGTAACAAAGTGTAGTGAAAATAGGAGTGATGTGAATTGGGCTAAAAGAGAGTACTGAAGTGTAGTAGAATTACATACATTTACTGTGAACTAAAGTAAAGTAGGTTATTTAAGCAATAAAGGACTTTTTCCTTAGTTTACGTACGGAATTTTCCCAACCGCCAAGTGTTTAGATGACACTGTAAACACGGAAAGAGACCTATATATTTCTTAAAACAAAGAAACACAACCATGTTTATGTACTCTCATCTAAACATACCAAACGACCAATGAGAGCGCGCGTAGTGTCATTTTAACTCCTAGGATACTTTTACTGGTGAAGAAAATATAGGAGAAAGCAGTCACGCTCACGGGAAATAAAGAAGATCATCTGCATTCAGGTCTAGTAAAATTCCTTCACAACCCTGACAAGCTATATACCTCTCAAACTCAATAATTGATCAAGTTTGAACAAGGGAAATCATGACCGTGACGGTGTTTGGATATCTGATCTTAATTAGCATAGATTTTTACGATTTTATTTCTACGTTTTCTCCTTGGTTTTAGTTTTGCTTGAGAAGATATGTCAAACACTCGAGACAGTGTTTGACCACATTTACAATCACCTCGAAGTTCGTCAAAAATACTCTGCAGCGCGTCGTATTTTGAACTCTCTTCTCGGGTTTTGGAAATGTGGTCATACACAGTCTTTCGTGTTTTACATGAAGTACCACGCCATTCGATGAAAACTGTTTCACACACACCCTGAGGGATGAGAACTTCGTTTCGATTCCGCAGTCTGCATTCTTCATTTTATTTCAAAGAAGTTATGAAATTATTTTGCGCTTTGAATCAGCTGAAAAATACCACTCTTGCTCCAGTATTTTATACTTTGAAGGGCGCTTCTATCGACAAAACGTATTTCCACACGGACTGCCAGATACAAGGAATGCGGACGTAAAAGGAAACCGACTTTTCCGCGTTTTCAGCACTTCTAAAAATAACTTTAGTGGTACTGACATATCGGGAACCTTCCTCTCCGTCTCTTCATTCTCTCTTGGAAGGATTTATTCGCGAACGCAAACTACTTTCGAAAAAACAATTTGAGTCAAAGTACGACTAATGACTAAGTATAACTAGTATGCCCTACATGATCTCACCCTCGGCAAATCAATCCGAAGAAAACACGAAACATTCAGCACTAATATATTAAATTGCGGCCGTACGAGATTTTGGAGTAAAATAGGAGGGCATACATGAAAGACTTTGGAGTACGTGCTATCGCAGCACTGACGTTAAACTAACAGAGAATAACAGGTGAACAACCTTACCAACCGATAGCAAGTTGAGCTTTCTGAGCTTACTAAACACAATTGTACTGAATTCCAATCTTAATTTTTCAGCAAACCATTTTCACTACACTCACCAAGGTTGTTTAACACTACAACTTTCTTCCAGTAAAACTTGATGAGATCTGAGGCATCCACGGATGGTGGCCGTAGTTTTGCCCACGAGGATAATTCCTTAGTTTGTTGCAAATATTGAAGTCGTCATGAATGAATCATGAATATTAATTCAAAGATCAAGAAAAATAGTGGCTTACTAAATATTTTTCAGCATGCGTTTCTTGGATATCTTGGAAAGGGCTTTATTATTCACAATAAGAGTTGTTATGAGTGTCTTTTTCAAAGATTTCTTCCGTTTGGAACTAAAAAGCTCCAAGAACTTTCTTCTAGTTAATGCATATATTTCTCCTCCTTCTTTAGACCGATTCAGAGTTTTTTGTTAGTATAAAAGGCTGGTTTTCACTAGCGCATATAAAAGCATAAGCATAAGGCGACACAGGCAGAAACAGCCTTTTAATGGAAATTTCTCAAACAAAAAGGTGCTAATTATCAACATCTTACTGCGTCTACATATGTCGGCTTATGCTTATGCGCTGATGAAAACCAGCTTTTCATGGCGAGCCGCACGTCTTAGCAACCAAATTTGCCCACAAGAATTTTCCGGGCTATCCGCATGACGCTCATTAAAAATTGTTTATTACTATATGAGAAGCTACAGTTGAGAGTTGAAAGCCATACATTTAGTGAAATTAGACTCTGGTTTGATAACCTCCATTTCAACTGACGACGGGTAATATTTGAAGATGTTGAAGTATTCTGTCAATAGTCGTTTATTCTGTGTAGCTGTATAATCGGCAATAATTTAGCTCTAGTATCTATGGCGAGACACACTCAAACTGGTCGACAAATAAACGCTTAGCCAGTCCGCTGACAACAGCTCGTACCCAGGAAATTAGTACGCAGCGCAGACCTCAGTAGAGTCGGGAGTATTCACAAATACGATTGTCGCAGCTCCTTTAAACCGTTTGTGATTCGCATCCTTTCTTCTGCAACGTTTTATTTTTATTTTATTAAATGATTAGAGTAATTTTATTTAACTCTGAACCGTAAGTTGTTTAAATGTAGAACCACAAGGGTCGTCTTTGTCATTTCATTTCTTATGCGCTAGGTCTGGAATTAAGTCAGTTCTGTAAATTATTTTTAGCAACACAGGTAAAAACTGGAACAATGTGTCAATGAAAGTGCAGTGCACGTAGTGTTTAGGAATCAAACATGGTGAGGGGATAGTGCGAAATGAAATACTAAGATCCACGATTTCAGAGCAAAAGAAATTGAATTGCCAGTGGTTGTCTGATTAGGTCAATTTTATTTACATCAATGCGGAATATTTACAGAACGAAACAATGTGCTATGAAAAATTTAACTCCTGAGAGCCGAGAGTCGCTCTGCCAAAATTGTACTGTTCATCCGGTAAAATAATCAAACATAATAATACAACAATTTAAGAAAAGGAATAGACCAATTTCGATATATTAAAACTCAGCCTAAAACAATAGACCTCAGTGCGAGTTTCTGGTGAATAACTACAGAGTTTGAGGGGTTTATTTCTTCCCCAGAGCCACGTGCTGAGGTCTGCTATGTTAGGCTGAATTTTAATATATCGAAATTGGTCTATTCTGATACACTCTTCATTAACAATTCTACAAGTCTACGCTGCGACAGTATTTTCCTATAAAGCAAAATTATATTACAACTATATTACTTACAACTAAATCGATATAATACATTTTGCCGAGAGTAATTTAATGTCTACAAATCAATGGTAATTACGAGTGGAATTTTTCTCAAAGTTACCAGGATCAGTTACGTGCTAATACTCCTAATACTCTTGGCTTTGGCTGGAGCTTGCCGCCTTTGAGCCGCCAGATTTCGATGCGGATTTCTTGGGAAGTAACACGGCCTGGATGTTGGGCAGCACACCACTGTCTGCGAAAGTCACGTGTTGTAAAAGCTGGTTGAGTTCCTCATCGTTTCGCACAGCCAGGAGCAAGTGGCGCGGGATGATACGGGATTTTTTGTTGTCTCGGGCGGCATTTCCCGCGAGTTCCAATACTTCTGCTGTGAGGTATTCCAAAACTGCGGCAAGATACACGGGTGCTCCCGCTCCAACGCGCTCAGCGTAGTTTCCTACGACAAATCGGCAGAAATATTAACTACCATTTAAAATGTCTCTCGGAAATCTTCACACATACACTGTACCAAACAAGCACACTACTCTCGCCAGCAAGCCACAAAACTACAGAACTAGTAACCGACTTTGACACACTAATAAAACATCGATTGCTTTTACGCCGTGTTTTGCCCGTAAACCTTGTAATGAAACGAACTTAATACTGTACATTTAACTTGTCTAACGAGTGGCCTCGTGCTAAATAACATTATTTCATTGGATTTATCGTTTATAAATACTGAACAAACCTTTTCGAAGAAAGCGATGAATTCTTCCTACAGGAAACTGTAAACCTGCACGGGTAGATCTGGTTTTGCTTGTACTTTTTCCTCCTTTAGCTGCTTTTCCGCGTCCAGACATCTTGGTTAAATCTGATTGAGGGCAAATCCTTCAGCCGTTAAACGTAGTGTCTGTACCTGTTACACGTTGAGTGTTTTGCAAACTTTCAAAATGCGGTGCGATTATATAGCTATCACGTGCGAGAGTGCGCACGTGCTAAGATTTACCAGCAGCTGATTGGCTTCAACTTGCCATCGTGGAATGATTCAGCACGGGCTTTTCTCATTGACACGTTGGTTGTAATTTTAACAATTTTTAAGTCTCACTGATTTTTCACAAGTACATTGTGCAACTTGCACTGATATACTTGTGAAAAATCTAAAATATCTTTCGTGTTCAAATGTGAAAACAAAATAAACCCGCATCCATTGCGACGTTAGGACCCTGAACTTTCCTACCACATTCGGCGATGAGCTCTCTGATTTTGGAGACCGAAAAAATCACTCCGCACACATCTATCCGCGCGTATCTTTTGCGTAACCAGGAAATTTACTGAAACCTTTCAGCTTTGTTTCACCTGTATCATCTCTAACTAAGGCCCAAACGTTGTTGAAAATAAACTTAGTGCATGCCATGAGTTCAAAAATCTTTAGCACGCATATCTCGCCCTACGCCTTTGAGAGATTGATCGACCACTTTCTTTACTATCAAACTGGCGGACAAATGCTGAAAAGTCTTAATTTGTTTAAATGAAAATGATGTAAGTAATTGAAAAGGTAATTGAAGTTGCAAAAATGGAAGTTCTTCTTATTTGACAATTAAAACTATTTTCTGTTTAAGAGAGTAAGGATATGAATTATTTAGGCCTCTCTTGAATTATTTCTCATCAACCTATGTGTGAACAAATTTTGGCATTTTCATGTTCCCTATTATTTAACCTCTTGTATTTGTAGTTGTTTCGGAGACTGAGTAACGTTAAACATCTCTTAGAAAGATACACTAGCACGCCACTTTCCCCGTGCTTAATTAAACGGTCGAAAAAACTCACCTTATCTTAAGTAATATCTCAACCGCTTTGGTGAAAAGTATAGTAACCAGGATACGGGTCAATAGTCCGAGAGGAAATGATCGCCAAACCTTACTTATGACTGAAGACGGTGCTGGTTACAAAGTGACCAGTAACTTGGAAAACTTTAGCTGGTAGTTCGCTCTGTGTCATAATCAGTTTCAGCTTGTTTAATGTTATCTCTGAATTCCGAATGTTGCGCGCGCAGTTTGTCACCATTCCGAGACCCGATGCGTTGCATAACTATTATGTATTCTGCAAGTACTTACAAATGTAAATTAATGTGTGTGACTTGAAAGAAATATAAAATATTTTACTATCCCAGTTTCGACAGAGATTGCTTGAACAACTGACACAATGGCGAGGATTCAAATGTAATGTGGTCATTCCATGGTCTGCTTAAAAATGTTTTAAATCCCTTCAATCCCAGTATCTATCCATTATCAATATACCACTACCTCACTCACACTTGTACCGACTAACACCAGAATAGTGCAAAGAATAGTTCAATATATTACCAATGATTATTTCAGTTTACTTAGGGAGGTCAAGTCAGCCGGTTATGAACCAAAAGGAATGGCTGGATCACGTAGTCCAGTAATCAAGAATCTCTCTTTCTTTTTCGTCGACGTCAATTCAAGAACACGATCACTGAGAGGCAGACATAACCACACATTTCATCGATTGTTCATCCACCACATTTACTTGTAGAGAGGTTTATTACACTAGACATCACATATATCTCATGTATGACTTAGAATAACCCCTCCCTTACAGTCCCCGCCCTCCTAACCCCGCCTCCTCACACAAGAAAAGAAGCAGCTCGAATACTAAGCTAAGCAGATCCTCTTAGCAACGGAAAGCTTCAGTAACTGCTGCTATGGGGATTTGCTAGAATGTCAGAAAATCATTCAGCTGATGGAAAGTCCAATCCTCTGTGACTACCCACGTGATGTGGGTGGCTATGTTTTGTCAGACGCTAGAAAAATACCCAAACCCCTGAACAACCTAGCACACAGAACAGAACACGGCAAGTAGCCGGACCCCATGAGCAAGTCAAGATACGGATACGGAACGGATTACGATACGTCCTGGTATTGAAGGACGCAAACTACAGTTGTTTCACGCCCAAAAGTGAGTATTTAGAGAGAACATAGTGGCTAGTAGAATGCGTTGCGAGTTGCCAGTTGAAACTTGGTTCGTAATCTATCGGCCTCCAGTTGTCTGAAGTACGCCGAGTCCTCGTCCCGCTGAAGATTTTCTTGGAATTCTCGCACGTCACGCTCCAGCTTCTTACGCAAGTCTCCTCTCATCTGCCGCACCACCTGAAATACACACAGCCACCAAGATAAGCACGGAAAGCAACACAGTGCAAAGTATATTTACAACATACCGTTGTCTGAACATACTTTTGCGTCGGCACAAATGTGATCTTATTTATCAAACCACCTAAAGAAACATCCAAATGGAATGATCACTACTCTTTTCGGACGATGCCATGGATCATATAGTAGTCAATAAGAAAATAAAGATCAGTGGAATGGCTCAACTCAAAACGTTTTATTATTTACAGTTTGTGCAATGTAAAGAATTGTTTCCAACTAGAAGAGAAATTAATTTTTTTACTAAGGTAGAAAAACGCCCCAAGATAACTACAGATCTAAACCGAACAAGGATGCTTAAGACTGGAAAAAAGACTCAGGCGGATTAGAAAGTTGAACTCGACAAAAAAGCCTAAGTTTTCAAGATGAACAAGACCACAAGAACGTCGCTAGACAAAAGGGCTTTAAAGTGATTAGTTTAATGACTCTGCCTGGGTGTCTTGGAGCGATGTTCAAGCTCCTACCCTTGTGGTTTAATTAGAAACGCACAACAGTAACACACAACGTGGGTGCAGTGAAATCATACTGGCTGCACATCAACATTTCAAATTAGTAAGTCGGGCCGGTAACTCACCTTTTCTTGTGCTTTTTCACGCACTTCCATCTCATACCTCTCACGAGCGATTCCTTCCGCTAACATAGCGAACTGGTCACGATAACTTAAAAGACATTAAGGAAACAAAACAACAATATACAAGACTTCAAGTTCTTCTTGAAAATCTCAGTTAGTTGAAGTCTCGTTGTTTTGTCAAAAGAACTCAAGTTTCAAGTCAACATCCCGTTACTCCCTCCGTCTTGCTCCAATGCATGCAATCTTTTAGCTCGTCACGTAATTCCTTGAAGGACAAATTGCGTGACAAGCCTCTTTACGTCGATCCCAGGGTCTCTAAAACTTAGAGCAAACACAAAGCTACAACCAGGTACAAAAGTAGTTGAGACATCCTACCTTAGCGAGACAACTCTTCACCGTGCTATCGCGCGTTATCTTTCCCTCCTCCCCCCCTTTTTCCAATGTTGCTAGCTAAGCAATATAACTTAAAAGAACAACTCTGAATCAGGGAGAGGGGGGCTAATTGTTATTCTGTGACAAATTTGTTATTTGCGATCCATTCAAGTACGTAAAGCCACTTTTCCACAAAGTGTATCAACATTTTTGCAGCTCGTTGTAGCGGAGGGAACAATACGAGATAAAGGATACAAGTTCTCTAGTGATTCTATTTCGTTCTGCTGTTTCTGAGCCAGGGCTTCTCTCTTTTCCTTAGCGTACTCTCTTAATTCACGTATACGCTGCTTCTGAATATCCAAACCATCCTCGAACAACCTCTTGAAGATCTACAGGAAAGAAGAAAGACTTTTGTGATAAGTGAATAAAGATGGTGAATTTTTTAGACTTTTTTGGTGTTAAATGTTTAAA